AAAATAAAATAAAATAAAATAAAATAAAATAAAATAAAAACTGGTTACTGATGTGGCTTTTTACATCCTTAGACATGGAGAAGCAGTTACTGCACAATTAAGTGGGGTTTTTGTTTTGTGCCTCAAAAGTATCTGTATTTAAGTACATTTACATCAATGACCTTAACTCCCCCATTTTTAGTAAATGAACCAACAGCTGAACTCTGTTATTGTGGGCTACAGGGTGAAATGGTTTCAAAATCAGTCTTTTGGAGAAGATGACATTGTGGAATTTATCTAGAGAAAGTCAAATGAAGGTAAGAAAGGATGCATCTCCATGCCTTTCCCCAAGCTCTACAAGGGACCGCAAAACGTGGCACTCAAGTGAATTTCTGGCATTTTGTTCCTAAGGGATCCATTCATTCAATAACATTCATGGTACCAAGCACTGTTCTAGGTGCTGAAATACAGTAGTCATCACATTGATAAGAATCCCTGCTTTACTGGGACCTAAAACCTAGTGATGATAAAAAGCTTCTGCAGATGTCACTATGGAGGCCTCGAGAAATCATATCCCTAATTCATTGTTAAAAGAGCAGATTGTGATTTAAATCCCAGTTATGCTACTTAGGAGATGTGTGAACTTGACTAAGTTATTACTTTCCCCATGAGTCAGTTTCTGTATTTGTACAATGGGGAAGATAAGATTTACCTTATAGAGGTGTGCAGGTAAAGGAGGTTATTTACATGGAGGTACCTTCAAAGGGCTTGCCCTATTGTGATCACGGAGGGTATGCTACTTAACTTCTCTATTAGCAGGTTTTTTTTCATAGAAAAGCCCTTTCAAAGAGACCAGAAGGCCAAAAGGAATTATCAGTTTTGGTTTTCTTATCTATTAGTAGAGTCACACAAACCATTCTCATGATGCTTCAACCATCCCGAGCACCTAAAACTGTCTCCTTTTAGTGAGATTTGCTGTCTTGTCCCCCCAGGCGTGAACACCAAGGCTTTAATGATAACAGATCTTCCTCACTCTTCCTAAGATGAGCCAGCATCTGTCTTGCAGACACTGCCATGACCATCACAGGCTCGGGG